TAGATAGACCATAAATTGCCTTTCCCTAATAGCTAGAGGGAAAAAGAGTTTTTATACAGGGTGGGCGACAGGAGGTATAGAGTTGTATGAGAAACAGAGTTTATTCTTGTATTATGTATTAACTAGAGGCCCAGTGCACAAATTCATGCTCCGGTGGGGTCTGGCTGGCCTGGCCCCAATCAGGATGGATTGGGGGAAGAGATGGCGGGAGGTTGGCCAACCGGCTGGACCTGATTGGGCCCTATCAGGGCCAGGCCGGCTAAAGGGAGGGGCTGACAGCGATTGGCCAGCAAGCCCCACCCCTGATTGGAATGGGAGGGACAATTGGGGGAGGGGATGTGAGTGGTGGGCCAGCCAGCCCTGCCTTCGAATGGGGTGGGTGGGGACAATCGGGGGTCAGAAGCTGGGGGAGGGGCTATGCGAGGTGGGCCAGCCAGTCCCACCCCTGATTGGTTGGGGGGAGGGGCAATCCTGGGTGGAGCTGGCTGGGGGAGGGGCTGCGGGCTAATGGGGATGGTGGAGGCCCATCAAGGTGGAGCCAGCCAGGGAGAGGGGCCTCAGGCAGTCGGGCTGCCGGCCCTGCCCCTGATAGGGGTGAGGGGCCCATCTGAGGTAGAGCCAGGCTGGGGGAGGGGCTGCAGGAGGTTGGCCAGCCTACCCCGCCCACTAATCGGATAGGGGGCGGGCGATCAGGGGCGGGGCCAATTGGGGTGGTGCTGCCCAGGGGAAAGGGCCACTGGGGGGTTGGCCGGCTGCCCTGCCCTCGATCAGGGTGGGAGAGGCCAATCAAGGGCAGGGGTGGTTCGGGGGAGGGGCCAAGGGAGGTTGGCCAGCCAGCCCAGGTTCACTGGCCTGGGTGTCATAGCAACCAGTCATTCCAGTCGGCTTTTTATATATATAGAATAGAGACCCAGTGCACAAAATTTGTGCATGGGGATGTCCTCAGCCTGGCCTGCACCCTCTCACAATCCAGAACCCCTTGGGGGATGTCTGACTGCCAGTTTAGGCCTGATCCCACAGTCGGACATTCCTCTCACAATATGGGACTGCTGGCTCATAACTGCTCCCCTGCCTGCCTGCCTGATCATCCCTAACCACTCTGCCTGCCTCCCTGATCACCTTAATTGCTCACCCTAAGTGCCTCTGCCTCGGCCCCTGCCACAGCAGCTTCATCTAGATCACATGTGTCAAACACAAGGCCCGTGGGCCAAATCCGTCCCGCCAGGCCTTGCAATGTGGCCCGCACCACGCTGTCATCACTGCACTCCGCTGCGTTTCCATCACAATGACAGTTTATGACTGTTCAGTAAACCATTCGGCCCGCGATTTAGGCTGGATTTTAGATTTTGGCCCCTTCTCTGATTGAGTTCGACACCCCTAATCTAGATTCTAGGCGACCCAGTGACCCACAGGCTGAGAACCACTGCTGCAGAGCCTAAGACAGTCGGAAAACACAGATATTTACATTACAATTCATTAACAGTAGCAAAATTACAGTTATAAAGTAGCAACAAAAATAATTTTACGATTGAGGGTCACCACAGCATGTATTAAAGGGTCATGGCATTAGGAAAGTTGAGAACCACTGATCTAGAAGGTTGTCTGGAATGACATCCAGAAGGTCATATGGCTTTCTGGACTGATTACATATTATGGTTTTATTATTATAGATTATTGTATTATCTTCCTATGTAATCCTCTTTTGCCCTGCCCTGTACTTTGCTTTTCTAATGTCCATGGGAGTGAGCCTCACATTTTAGCGTGCCTCAAAACCCCCGGAAGCCCACCGGTGGAGGCTGAGCCCACCCAGAGCTTCTGAGTCGGTGGGTCTCAGGGCCCCTGAGAATGCACATCGGACAGGTTTCCGGGTGCTGCTGCTTAATTGGTGTCTATACTTTGGCCACCACGGCTCTGTGACATCCAATAGAACCCCTATTCCTGAGACTTCCCCTGACAGGCACCTTTCCTATCCCCACACCCTCCTCTGTTCAAATTGACCCCACAGGTCTGGTTCTAATTAATGTGACTTTTTAAACCAAAGAAAGTGCATGGCATATCAGGAGTGAGTGTTCACCCTTCCTGTTCCACTGCCCGCTATCTGCGTCTCTATCTCTCCCCACCTCTCTTCCTTTCTCCCTTTCTCTCTCTCTCCCTTTTTCTCTCTCCCCACTCCCTTTCTCTCTCTCTCTCTCTCTCTCTCTCTCTCTCTCTCTCTCTCTCTCTCTCTCTCTCTCCCCCCTTCCCCTTTTTTCCTTTCTCTTTCTCTCTCTCCATCCCCCACATTCCACTTCAGGGTGAAGCCCTATGGACACTGTAGGTCTCCTGATGGATTCCAGTTCCTCCAGCAGGCCTTCCTGGACACACACACACACACACACACACACACACACCCGGGTGCCGGCAGGAGCAGGAACGCGCCCAGAGGTGAGGAATTTGAGAGCCTCCCGCCCTGCCCAGCCAGGCTGTGTGCACTGGTGAGGCACTGCACATACATGTGCAGGCAACACGCTGTTCTTAGACAATTTTAAACAAGTGAAGGGCAAACGGAGCCTAACAATACTGCTTGTTGCTTCTCAGCTGTTTGTAAGTTGTATATCTTTATAGCAGCACATCTAGCTGTCTCTTCCTTTATGGTTTCTGTCTTCTATGTTCTGCTTAGAATGTCTTCTATGAAAGATTATAAAATACTAGAGGCCTGGTGCACAAAATTCATGCACTGGTAGGGATCCTTCTGGCTGCTGGCTGGGGCCTCCCTTCCCTGGCTGTCAGCTGCTGGCCAGGGCCTTCTTTCATTCTGCGCCACCCCCTAGTGGTCAGCACACATCATAGCGATCAATCCAACTCCCAGTCCCCTGGTCAAACTCCCAAGGGTACACTTTGCCTATTAGCCTTTTATAGATACTGTATATATAGATTTGCCTATATTTTCTTGCTGCTTTTAAAAATATATATATTTTATTGATTTTTTACAGAGAGGAATAGAGAGTTAGAAACATCAGTGAGAGAGAATCATTGATCAGCTGCCTCTTGCACACCCCCTACTAGGGATACACCCGCAACCAAGGTACATGCTCTCGACTGGAATTGAACCTGGGACCTTTCAGTCCGCAGGCTGACGCTCTATCCACTGAGCCAAACCGGTTTCGGCTTCTTGCTGCTGTTATAGTTTTGTTTAACATCCCACATCACAGGCAAATCAAAGAGGGGTGTTGAAGTAGGAAGTAAGACGTCTGCTTTGCTATTTCCTCCCCAAGCAGCCAGCCACCAGGGGTGTCGTGGCTCGTTCCTGCTGTTGTCAGGATCTGGACCGCCAGCCTGGTCCTATTTTAAAGTCAGTGGCTCTGGCTTATGACTGGGTCGATGGCACATTTTGCTTTTTAAAAAATATTTTTATTAATTTGGAGCCCTGTCGTGCATATGAACAGATATTGAGAGTAGTGCTGTATAAAATGTGTTCTTATTTCCACTCAACAATACAGAGAACACACTGTCTTACTCCTTTATTGCAGCTTTGAGGCTAGTTTTGCTCCTTGGTTCCTCACTGTTGGTGTTCTGCCCGTAAGCCCTGCCGAGTGCAGTCACGGCTCCCTCCACGGGCCTGGCTGGGAGGGAGGCCAGGCCACAGAAGGGGCCGCCGTCTCCAGGTTGTGAGACAGCAGCACATCAGAGTCCTCCCTGCGGGCAAGAAGTGGGGAAACTTTTCTAGACAAAGGTCATGGGCGGAGAACCAGCTGCAAGAGGGGCCCAGGCAGATGGCCCAGATGGTTCATCACATGGGCAGGTGGGCATGGGCAACACAGGAGAGGCAGCCTCGGTCATTGCTGTTCAAACTCTGTGTCCCCGGACCTCCCCAGCACCCTCTGGAAGGTGGCGCGTAGGTGAAGGGTGAGTCACCCACTGAAGATATAACTGCACACAGAACCCCTGAAGAACTGACCTTGTCATACCTATGAAGCAAAGCTACAAGTTCACTTGCAGTCAGATTTGAGCTTCTCTTTTGTGAATAACATTTTGTTTTTAGATTTTAGTGAGCACCGAAGTGGAAACATGCTTCACACAGAAAAGAAAGTGGAAACATGCTTCACACAGAAAAGATGGGTTGTCAACATAATGCATATTGCTGTGGTGGTATTTTTTGGTGGTTGAGACATAAGTACTGAAATCAGACTGACCTGGGTTCAAACCCTGCTCTGCCACTTCCTGCTGTGTGGCCTTAAGCAAACTGTAGTGCTTACCCTGTCTGAGTCTGTACCTCTTTACAAGGAAGAAATGAGAAAATGTTTTAAAAATAAGTGTTACAAAATAAACAAACAAAATGGAAACAGACTCGCAGATACAGAGAAGAGGGGAGGTTGAGGGACTGGGTAAGAAAAGTGAAGGCACTAGGAAGTACAAATTGGTGGTTACAGAATAGACACAGGGATGAGCGGCCCACAGCGGGAATGTGGTCAATAATATCTTAATAGCTGTGTCCAGGCAGGTACTTGAAACATCCAGGGGGAACCACTCTGAAAAGCCCATGATTGTCTAACCACTCTGCTGTGTATCTGAAACTAACGCAGAGTAATATTGAATGTAAACTGCAATTAAAAAGAAAGGGGGGGAATAGCTGTGAACATTAATTACTAATCTGTAGTATATTATTCGATCCTTAAGACAGCCATGAGTTAATGCTGCCATCGTCATCTTACACCTGAGAAAGCTGATGCCCAGGCCACACCGCTGCTAAGCCTCTTCCCAGGGGTTGACCCAGAGACGCCAGCACGTGGCCTCATTTCTATGCTGTCTTCACTGTGTGCTCACAGCCCTGGATCGGCTCCCATCACAAGTGCCCAGTGGAGGTGCCTGTGGTGGTTGTTTGTCATGATTTCAGGGGCTCGCTGGCTAGAATTTCCACTCCATTGTACATCCTTTGAGGCATGTAAATGTCGTTTTTGCTGTAAAGCTCTTGAATTTCCAGGACTAATTCTTCCCCTTTCCTTCAAATGCTTAAATCACAGGTGCAGCTGCCGAAAGAACTGGAATAGGAGGCCACAGACGAACCTAGAGGAACAGGAACTGGAGTGAGGACTTGGACTAGAGCTTGAGGCTGCATGAGCAGCATGGCTCTGGCTCCAGAACAACGCTCACGTCTGATGGAAGGATTTTATAAAAGGCAAAGTGCTTGGCACGTGGCAGTATGTGGCTGAAGGGGAAGAGGAAGGAGATTAAATAGTAATATTTGGGGCAACATTTTCTACTGCCCATCAGTTGGAGTAACTATGGTGAAATTTAGTCATGCTCCCAGCACAAAAGTTAAAACACACACACACACACACACACACACACACAAAACCACACATTTTTTGTAAACATTTGCTTTACTATTGCTTTCTTCTGCTAGGCAACAATAAATACTGTAGAAGTGTTGCTAGTATAGTTCCGTTTTTTCACCTTCCATCTGTGCTATAACTCACCACACAGTCTCTTAAAGGAACAGCTCATGTTTCATCTCCGGAAATGTGGTGGGTGACTTGAGCTCCAGGCCCTTCTGCTGCTTAGAAACGGAAGAATCGTTAATTAGCCCCTCTCTCGGATCCACCGAGGTTTCCAGTTTCCAGCCCTGCCTGGCTTTCTCCCTCGGCCATCTCCCGGGGCTTTGGGATACACTTCTGACAGAGTGTCTGTGAGGAGCAGAACGTTTAAGCCACAGGACGCGGAGAAAACAAAGTGTCTCCAGAAAAACTAATGAAGAAGGTGAGCCTTTACGTGCACAAAACCTTCCCTGTTTCCAAACACACGGGGACAGCTACTGTCTCAATGCACAGGTTTTGCCGAGGGACAGGCAAAATTATGCTTTTTCTATTGACCCATTCCCTCAATAAAAAATCTCTAAATTGAAGAGTTTAATTTGTTTTTAAAATGTAATCATTTCTCCCAAAATGTTTGCTTCTTGCTTGGTTGCAAGGGGGGTCAGGAGGTCTCACCCTCCTGTTTAGATAGATGATGTGAAGTGGGCATGCAGGCCCCGGGGCTACTGCTGCCATTGGAATACTCGCCACCCGTGGATCCAGCCTTAACGTTTTATTACTAATGTTTTATGACATATTAGCGATAGCAGACCCCGCACAAGTGGGTAGCCAAGCTACTACTGTGAAGAGACAAGATACTGAGAATAGTTTTTCCAAAGATAATCATCATGTGATGCCTGCATTTTACCATGGATCTGAGTGTATCCTCTAAAAATGGAATGTAACAAAAACCCAGGGCATTTTTAGAAACTGTATGCTATCTGGCAACCTTTTATAAAATGTTATAAAAATAGAAAAAATGTAATAGTTTAGAGCATTCACATGCTAGTTTTCTAGAATTGACACTGTTACTAATTAAAATGAGTACCTTTTCAAATTTCAACTGGTCATTTTCTCTAAGTTTATTGTGTTTAGTCAGCAGAAAACATTGTATAGAAAATGGAAGTGGCTAAAATGTGTATAAACCCATGTCAGGTTTTAAAAAAGGACCTCATTGGGACATCAAAATTACAGCTACACTATAGAACAACCATCATTCAGAACCACCTGAAATCGAGCTGAATGGAAGTCCTACAAGTAACGATATATAGAAGAAGCCATATCGAGGTTGGTAGGAGAGATGGAGACATGGACTAGATTGGGCCCATGTCCACATGTGGCAGATAAAAATCGGGAGGAATATCTCAGCTGCAAAAGTCCCATATTTCAGGGTTCTAATGCCAAGAAGAAAAGTCCCCATAACTTCTGGCTGTAAAAACCAGCAGGGATTGTGGCTGAGGGAGACAGAGGGCTGCTGGGGTCCCAGATGTTCCTCTTAAAGGAACACACAGACTTACTCAGACTCACTCATTCTGAGCTTCAGCACTGGGGCACCAGCCTAATGGGTTCCCAGGTACAGTCAGGGAGGAACTGAGTTCTCTGGCTTCAGGGCCAGGGCTGGAGGGGTGGCTTTCTCAGACAAAAGTGCAGGCAGCGGCCATGGTTCCTTTGATGAGCCTTTCTCCACAGAGCTGCCATATCTGAGACTCCATCAACCTGGCTCACACTGTTTGCCTCACCCTGGCGATTCCCCAATACCCAGCCCTAGACAACTTATGGGTCCACCCAAGTTGTTTCCAGTGGCTTTTCCATACAAATGGACTGTCTTGGCTCATGCCTCAGACTTTTTTAAAATCTCTCAAACAAGAAACATCTGGCCTCAGAGTACCTCTCACTAAGTGGATCCAGGCCCAGCACTAGCAGCAGCCAGCTTTGGTTCACAGCTTGGCCTCTTCTGGGCACCTCCAAGCCCAGCACAAGTAGCAGCCATCTGCAGATCACTTTGTAGTTCATGCTAGGAGGCCTCAGGCAGAACACAAGCAGTGACAGAACTTGGCCTGCACCCCCCAGAAGGCCCCAAAGCCATGGCATCTAGTTAACAGCTTCAGAATACATCAAAGCACCACCCAACTACCTCCACAAGGGACACGCTCAAGGGTGGACTCAGCAGTCACCAGAGCCTAGAGTAGGTCCGGCTGCTTGCAGTGGGCCCCTGCACTCCTGATCCTCCACAGTGCTCACAGCCACTGCTCAAAGCCAGACCTTGCAACTGATTGGCCTGGGGCTAAATCCTTATTATTGACATGCCAACAGCAATCAAGGCTTACCTACAACAGGAGGGTGTACACAGCCCCACAGGGGTTGGGGCACACACCTGAAGTGCCTAGCTCAGAGGAACAGGAGGCCCTGCCACGGGGCCCTACAGGACACCTACTGCATTAGGCCAGTCTACGAAGCCAGGGAGACTGAGCTGCTCTACCTAATACATAGAAGCAAACTAGGGAGGCTGCCAAATGAGGAAACAAAGAACCACCAGATGAAAGGACAGAACAAAACTCCAAAAAAGAACTAAACAAAATGGAGACAAGCAATCTACTAGATGCGGAGTTCAAAACACTGTTTAGAAGGATGCTCAGTGAACTTAATGAGAACTTCAGCAGCATAAAAAAGGATATGGAACCATAAAAAAGAACAAGTCAGAAATAAAGGATACACTAACTGAAATGAAGAATAATTTATAGGGAGTTGATGAAACCAAGAATCAAATCAGTGATTTGGAATATGGGGAAGCAAAAAATATCCAATCGTAACAGCAAATAGGAAAAAGAATCTCCCCCAAAATGAGGATACTGTAAGGAGACTCTGGGACAACTTTAAGCACACCAACATTCACATCTTGGGGGTGCCAGAGGAGAAGAGAGAGTAAGTAGTTGAAAAACTATTTGAAAACATAATGACAGAAAACTTTCCCAAACTGGTGAAGGAAATAGACGTACAAGTCCAGGAAGCACAGAGAGTTCCAATCAAAGAGGCCACACCAAGACACATCATAATTGAAATGCAAAGAGTTACAAAGAATTTTTAAAAATATGAACAATAAAATGACAATAAATACATAACTACCAACAATTGAATCTGAAAAATAAGATAAATGAACAAGAAGAACAGAAACAGACTCACAGATACAAGGAACATTTTGACGGTTGCTAGATGAGAGGGTTGGGGGATGGATAAAAAAGGTGAAGGGATAAAAAAGTATAAATTGGTAGTTACGGAATGTCATAAGGATGTGAAGTATAGCATAGGGAATATAGCAATAATATTATAATAACTATGTATGGTGTAAGATGGGTATGAGATATATCAGGATGATCACTCAATAAGTTATGTAATGTCTAATCACTGGGTTGTACACCTGAAATAATGTAAACTTTAATTGAAAAATGAAAAAATTTTTTAAAAATTTTAAAAGGATCCCATTGGAATTCAATTTTATTCAGACTGGAAATTTATAATAAAGTTCTAAGGTTTTATTAAACAGTATTTGAAATGCAATATGAGTGTTTACTGTGTAGTACATCATTTAAAAAACCAAGTTGTCACTGAGTTTCTGAGACATTTAACATAAATGTGCATTAAATAAAGTCTCACAAACAAATCTTTGAAACATTTTATTCTTCATATTTGGGTCAGGGTACAATTCCTAGACCGTGTTTGTGAAGTCGGGATGCCGTCACTGTGCTAGAGATGAAGGGTGCAGGCTGGCTGAGAAATTAAAGTGCAAGGGAAGTCAGGAGCACATGCTGTGGCCTCTTATTCTGGGACACAGCGCCCCCTCCCAGAGTGCTGCTCCGCTGTCTTCCCGATTCAGCTGGAGGGAAAACAAAGTGTGTCCTATTCACCTATGAAATCACTTTGCATAATCTATTTCTAAGCACAACACATGGGGAAGGAGATGAAGAAAGGAACAGAATATATGAACACATGCTATCTTAATTCAATGTCTATTTATAAAAACACATGTTTGTAACAATTGCTGCTTAAAGTTTCTATGAACTGCCAATGCTGGTGATCACTCCCACTTTCGTTCCCATTTTAAAGTCTTCCTGGATCATCTGAAGATGCTTTTCAGATTTCAGACAACCAGCTATTAAGTGTCCTTTCTGTGCCCCTAAGAAATTGAAACACACATTCCTTTTAAAGCTGAAAATGAAAAAATATAGGAAACTTTATCTTAGACACCTTTCTGTTATGATAACAAAAAAATGTGGGATATAAACATGGCTTGTTGATTACTTTTTAAAGAAAACGGTACACAGCTGTAAGTGCCTTAAGGAAGATGACATTCAGTTTGCAGCCAATACCTGCTAGTAAAAACACGTGACTAGCATTTCAAAAATTACAAAATTCGACAAAATATTCTTCTAAACAGCTATCTTTATATTTGTAAACAAAATATAAACAACTGGTTTGTCCAGTTTCCTCTGCATGTCAAACAGGAGGCAAAAGTGATAGAGATCATTTTTTTATTTTAAACTAGTTTAGAGCCCACATACGATCCCGGGGAATACACTGGAGCAGGGGTCCTCAAACTTTTTAAAGTGGGGGCCAGATCACGGTCCCTCAGAGAGCTGGAGGGCCGGACTATATGAACTACTAATTCCTACTGTAACACCTCGGCTGCACTCACTGCCCAAAAAACCTGGCGGGCCGGATCAGACTCCTCTGTGGGCCGCATGTGGCCCGTGGGCCGTAGTTTGAAGACGCCTGCACTGGAGGATGCCGGGGGACTGAACAGGCAAATGCATGACGTTATCTACTTGAACAGTCTCCCATTGCTCCTCACCTTGAACTCTACAGTTACTTTTTTTCCTATAACTGTATTGTGGCTGCACAATCAATTCCTACATTTTCTTTATTCCCCTAGGTCGGACATAAGTGTGCTCCATTTCCTATCAGTTTTCATAAGCATAGTTGAAAGTTTAGACAGACTGGGAGGGTGTTTCTTTCGGTCCCTGGGCCTTCTCTGTAACATCAGAGGTGCTAACAGTTTGGCCCACAGATGCATGCGGCCATCGGCTGTTGGTGGTCTGTCCCCCTCACCTCAGAAACACACACAGAAAGTGGGCCTGGACGAGCACTGCACCTGGCGCTCGGCAGCAGCCTCGCCAGGTGCCGTCACTCCCTCGCTTTGCTGAGATAGTCAGTGAGCTTGCCCAGGCCTTCCTCCTGCTGCTCCAGGGCGTCCAGCACGATGCCCATGGGTGTCCTCTTCAGGCCGATGCCTTCCAGCTTATTCTCCATCTTGTTCTTGAGATTCCTAAGTCTGAGCGAGGCATGGATGAACATCACTGCAGAGAGGGGAGACACGGAGACATGGTGAGCCTCTTCCCTCTCTCCCAGCCGCAGCACACCCCCTCCTCCCTCCATCCCCGCCTTCCTGAGCGGGAGTCCACCCGATTCTCTGACAGGTCCAAACCTCACATGCCCCTCGGCCTGCACAGGTGTGTTCTTATCATGAGAAGAAGGCGATTGCTTCCAGCAGGAAGGATGCGGCCCAGTAGCCACTCTCCGCATCTGCACGGTGCCGCCCCCTTCCAGCTGCTCCTGCAGGGCTCACATTCAAAGCCACCGACATGCTCCGGCCACAGCCGAGCCCGCCTCGCACTGGCGTCCAGCCCTGAGACCACCAGGGGCATGTGGCGAAGCCCAGCCAACAGGCCGCTTTCTGAAATGTTGGATATAGATTTATAGACAGAAACTAACAGTTCTGTCGATTTTTAAAATAGCTTATTGGTTTTTAGAGAGAGGAAGGGAGAAGAGAGAAACATCCGTGTGAGAACATAACATTGATGGTCTGCCTCCTGCACGCCCCTAACGGGACAGAGCCCTTAACCTTTCAGAGCATGGATGCCCAGCCCCTGAGCTGACAGCTTTATAGATTTAATGTGTCTCGTGTTCCCCAAGTTTGCTTCATCGTTGAGAATTACCAAAGTTTGTTTATTAAGAAACAAATATGCCCTACCAGCATGGCTTAGTGGTTGAGTGTTGACCTATGAACCAGGAGGTCAGAGCACATGCCTGGGTTGTGGGCTCAAATTCCCAGTGGAGCATGCAGAAGGTAGCTGATTAGTGATTCTCTGTCATCATTGATGTTTCTCTCTTTCTCTCTCTCTCCCTCTTCTTTCCTCTCTGAAATCAATAAAAATACATTTTTTAAAAATATAGTTGGAAATTTTATATTTTTGTTTATATAAGCATCCTGGGTGATCTTCACAATCATCGAAGTTTGGGAATTACTTATCTAGAATGTGTGAACTTCGGCCCATACAGTATACCTGCTCCAAACCATGGCTACTTCCCAGCAGGTCCAGGAGCAGAAACCAAACCCTCTGACTCCCTCCCTGTGATGCCCCTTCTACACTGCCTATCTCGGGCTCTGAGGTGAAAAGGTGTTCCAGGTAACAAACGTGTGCCTAAAAGAATCACTGAACTACTGACCACGCCTCTAGCAGAGAAGGACAGCTTGAAGAATACTTCAAAAAGTCTGAATCTGCTGGTATACCATATTTTCCGGCGTATAAGACGACCCCCTAATTTTACAGTTAAAACATAGGTTTAGGCCTATATTCACTGTATAAGACTACCCCCCACTTCAAAGAAAAGACTTACTTTGCCGTCAAGATCTGCAGGTAATTTTTGTGCAATTTTGGTCTTTTGCCCCCGATTTTCGGTTGACTTTTTTTCGTTTCAAAAGTCGTCTTATACGCCGGAAAATACGTAAGTATTTTGTCAATTATTGTGTGGGATTCATCTTGAAATATTCTTAATCTAACGCAACACCAATTGATTTTACTTAATGGGATAAAGCACATGTGAAATGCTATTAAAAGTTAAAGGGATGTTTCTGTCACTTAATACCCTAGAATTTTAATCAGATTTCTGCCAATGGGACTGAATTTGATATATTCTCTATTTCAGGCTTCATGGGCCTGGAATCTCAGTTTAAAAAAAAAAAAAAAAAAGCATGTAAAACTTACAAACTATCTACTCCTCACCAGAACTGGAGGACTTGGTATTGATTTCTGGGCCAATTATTTCTACAGGCTTATAAAACTTTTGACAGCAATAACGATCTTCTATGTGTCCCTCTCGCTGAAGAGGAAATTCATTGAGAAAGTACACATGAGGACAGATTTCCCGTGGGCAGCTCCAAGCGCTGCCTGTGACCTCCTGAGCAGCACAGAGGAAGCGGCTGCTTCCCAATGACCTGCACTGACCGGAGTGAGGACTGTGATGGCACTGAAGACTGGCCCAGACCCCTCTCAGGCGGCTCTCCCCCCATGCGGCTGCGCCCCCCACCGGCCGCGGCTGGGAGCTGTATTTCTCTTGACCTTGTGTTCCCCAGAAGGGGCTGGCACTGAGCAGGTGCCCCGTACGTATTTGTAGAATCAAAAGCCTGCATCTGCTATTTCAGAACATTCTGGTAATTTTGCAGATATGCCAGCACTCGTAAGAAACAGGTGATGGTGTAATGCTTTCAACAATACTAGTTTAAATGTAAAAAAGAAACAGGTTGTGTAATTCCCACGGCTCACTCACACAGCAGAGGGAAGGTGATGCCGAACACAAAGACCATGACGCCCCCGAACATGGAGATGAGGAAGTAGCTGGCCACCATGACCACCATGACGAAGGTGGTGGGGTACTGCTTCTTCAGGCCGCGGAGCACGTCCTTGTTGTGGGCGGCCCACACGAACCCCGTGAACACCAGCACCACCACAACGCCACCCAGGATCATGTTGAAGGGGCTCAGGAACCTGGGAGGGGAGAGAAAGAGAGGTGGGGTCAGCAGTGGGGCAGCAGGAACAGGAAGAGGAGGACAGGAGGGGTCAAAACAACTGGGTAGCCTTTACTGGGCATTTTATCTGAACTGCTTCATGTAATTCTTAGAACCGGGGAGGAGACACCACTCAGTCATTTCCCGAAAAAAGAAACCTGGGTGCGAGAATGGGGAGGTGAGAGTCACATCGAGGCAGTACGACTCCCACCGGACTCGTCAGTTCATCTCTTCAGAGGCCCAGGTGGTAAGCCTTGTCCATTTAGGAGCCCCCTTGTGGAGGGCTGTGATTAGCGCTCATTCTTTGGGCTCCAGTACATGAAATCCTGTTTTCTGAGGGCTTACTTAGATCCGTACAGAAATGGCCATGACAGGCGAAGGTAGCACAGAGCGGTGGTCACCAGCCGGCAGACCACAGACCACTGTGGTCTGTGAGTCCGAAAGGCTGGCGACCTTCGGCGCAGAGGTCACACAATAGCCTCCGTCGGCCGGAGCTAGTCTGCTGTCAAATTTGTGTCTGAAATGGACAGTGCATTAAAAAAAACTTTTCCTCAAGTCCCAGAGTTTAAAAAGTCCATAAAACTTGGGATTTCTTGCTTCCCGTGGACACATGGAACTCTAACAAGACCGGGCCCTCTCTCCCACCTGTCCGCAGGGCTGGTGCTGCCTCTCTGCTCAGAGAGAGCAAGTGTCTCCCCGCGCCCCGGTCTCCACCACCACCCGGCGTCTCTGACACAGGGGCCCAGGGAGCCGCATTGCTCATGGTTTACCTAACCACTGGCCTGCATCGTCCTCTTTCGTGACCAGCCCTGCCACGGAGGCATATGAGTTTACTGCATAGAGAGTCCATTGTAGTCCATTATAGTTCTTTAAAAGGGCCCTGAGCCTCACTGGGAGGTGGGTTACCAACTGGAATTCCCAAACAGAGCTCGCAGGTTCACTGGCCCGAGTCAGAATGACACTACGTTGATAATGGAGAACACACTGTGCAGAGGAGATTTAGACCAAGTGAAGATGACAGGGCGCTGCACTCCACCCCTGTGCATACAAAGCCCTAACAGACAGTGCGGCCAGCAAGCACACAGTTACTAGCATTTCACCCTCCCGAGAGGCTGACGAGCATTTCACTTGGGAAGGACACGGAGGGTCAGCGTGTTTGCATCGCGCTCTGGAGACAGCGTGAGGGGCTGTGGAGGACGGGAAGACAGGATAATGACAGGTGAGGCCACAGCTTCCTCCCTGACACAGAGGAGGCTTCGTAGTCATGCTGGGATTCATATGCAGGATAACTAAGAAACCTTTGAAAAATCCCTTTCAACGTTAGCTCTGATTCTACCTCTTAAAACTATTTCTTAAATTTTTTAAATTGATATTTAAAAACAAACAAATGAAAGTGAGAAAAGGTACTGAAAGAAACAAACCCTTTTACGTAGCCTTGACGCACCCACGGTTTCTAAGCTGTAAGGAGACCAACACTAAGGCAAAGAACTAGAGTGTAGGTTCGAGTTTCAGGAGGTCCTCTGCATGAAATGTAAATTGATGATGACTGGTTGGCAGCCAAGTGTCAAAGCTTTCCTCCTCAGTTCTCTCTAGAATACCTATTAGAATAATTCATGAAGCGAGCGAGTAATAAAATGCATGCCGAGCTTTTTTTATTTTCTCTGGACAAGTGAAGTAGACACCGGGGTTGGATGTCTAAATAAAGCCAAGGACAAAAGAACAATGAACAATCCAGGCCTGACTCCAGATTTGCTCTTCACCTGTTCCCGTTGCTCATGTTCAAGGAGAAGGAACAGAGCAAACAGACAGAACTGATTTAAGTTTACAACATGCCCAGCCACAATCTACAATTAGAAAGTAACCAAGTTCCTAAACTGGAAAAAAATGAACAAAATTACTCAGAGCAGGAATGACTTCCTGCTTTATTCGGATTACAGGCAATTCCCTTCTACGAAACGGTGAAATGCACACCACTTCCAGTAGAGCAAGTAAGTGCACATACCAGCCAGAGGGAGAGAGGGGAGGAGAGAGGGAGAGCAGCAGAGAGGGAGGGAGGGAGAGAACGTGGATTTTCTGTCCTTGGCGGAAACAGTCCCTAGTTTTGCAAATCAAAAGCAGAACAAAATCTCCAAAGAGGAATCATTTCAGTCTCATTACACATGAATAAGCTGAGGCCCAGAGAAGTGAAGAAATATATTCAGAGGGACACGGGGGAGAAAAAGGGTATTGGCTGGTGTAATTGTGACAGCAACTCACCATAGAAGCCATTCTGTGTTGCTAACCAGCCTCAGAAATCTCTCTCCCAGTCCCACATCCTAAGAAACCCCATTCTTGTAGTTGGGAAAAGCAGCTCAGGATCATTCCGGGAAGTCCCTAGCACTCTCATTCCCTCTGAAAAAAGGCAGCTATTGCTAGGTGCCTTAAACACGCAGTGTGATTCTGCTAACTGTAGCCATATGCCAGCACAGCTGCTGAGGGGGGAAATCTTGGCCAATCGCAGAATTTGAGAGCTGAGGGAACTTGAAAACTCGCCTCATTCTACATAAAATATAATAAAAGCAAGATAAGGAACAGACAAGTTACTGAAACGGAGACCCTCAGCTCAGTTCAAGGGCATATGTAGTCACTTCTCTCAGGCCGCCACACCAAGAACCAAAGAGGCACATGTTTCCTGCGCAGGAGAAGCAGCTTTTGTAATGATTCACAATGTTTAACCCAGAAAGCTGTCTTCGCAGTTTGGTTCCTGAGGAAGCCTGACTCACCCAGAAAGGGGGAACAACACTCACGGGGAACTTCTCTAATTGCTGCTGTTCTCACAGTCCCTCCATCATGGCAGCTGGGAAGCCACCCCTCCATGTCCTTGCTTCTCATTGCTTTCAGGATAGGAACAGAACTCCTCCCACATCTACCGGGCCTGCAGAGTCCGCCCGCCTGCCTCCATGGCCAAGGGCACGGGCGGTGACACAGACACCGACACCGTGTGTAGCTGTACCCCCAACAGGGGACCCGGCTGGAGGAGGAAGAGGAGCCTGAAATCCAGCCACAGGGTACTGGCCGAGCCCCATTTGGCTGAGCTGCACCTGCTGGCCGCAGGGTAGGGTGCTCCTCACACAGCGGAGGGAGCCAAGGCCACAGCCGCCGCTCCGGGCTGCTACCGCTTCCGGCTCACCTGCGCTGGCCGTGCCCTGGCACAGTGTCCTCCACCTGACCCCCGCCCCCACGTCTCCCAATCGGCTTCTCCTCAGTCCTCTGACCGGCAGAGCCCCATCTGCTCTCCTCCCAGCATGGCGCCTGGCAGGGCTTTATCTGCGGAGCACTCTGTGCTGTGAGCACTGGAGGAGTACTTTGTCTCCCACCGCAGGTCGGGCTCCGTAAGGGCAGGCACCGTGACGTTCTCTCCCCAGCTCCTAGCACAGAGCAAGTATTCAGTAGATATTTGCGGAAAGAAAGAAAAAGCTAAGTAAGAATCTAGCACACTTTCATGTTATTGAAACTAGCCCAGCCGAAACTGGTTTGGCTCAGTGGTAGAGTGTCAGTCTGCGGACTGAAGGGTCCCGGGTTCGATTCCGGTCAAGGGCATGTATCTTGGTTGCAGGCACATCCCCAGTAGGGGGTGTGCAAGAGGCAGCTGGTCGATGTTACTCTCTCATCGACGTTTCTAGCTATCTCTCTCCCTTCTTCTCTGTAAAAAATCAATAAAATATATTAAAAAAAAAAAGAAAGAAAGAAAGAAAGAAATTAGCCCAGCTCTTTCTATGGCCACAGAGGAACTGACGTGAGTTTTATCTTGGAGAAACCACTGTTGTTCTCACTGGACACTGTTACTGGAGAAAGTCCCTGTCTGTGCCGTCACTGAGCTGTGATGAAAAAACAAATAAAAAAGCAGAGTAAGAAAAATCACCCAAACTCCCATGCGAATGTAAGCAATAACGAGATCTGATCAGTGAGGTTGGAAGCACTGTCACTCGTGCAGGGGGCCAGAGGAGGTCCCGCCCGACCTGTCTAAAGGGCCCGCTGGCTCTGACAGCGCCCACAGCCCACTGCCTTCCTTCTGCAGTGACAGGCATTTCTTTCTTCCTTTTCTTTTTAAGAAGTGGGGCCAGGCAGAAGTGTTTTCTTTTTCCTATCCTCACCTGAGGATATGCTTATGGATTTTTATTTTATTTTTTTTGGAGAAAAGGAGGGAGGGAGGGAGGGATGGAGGTAGAGGGGGGAAAAGTGGGGAGGGGGGAGAGAGAGAAAACTCAATGTGAGAGAGAAACACCGATCCCCTGCCTCCTCTGGTATGAGCCTGATAGGGCACTGAGCCTGGAACCTTTCAGTTTACCGGATGGTGCTCCAGCCGACTGAGCCACACTGGCCAGGGCAATGTTGGTTTCACACAGCGTTCTGTCCTGGCAGGAACTATTTCTACTGTAAAGTACACCTGTAAATGCACAAGCCGGTTTGAGTAATGGGAGCAGACTCTCCGGGGCCCCATGGCCAGAGCAGTTAAGACCGGACGGGAGCCTGTCTGGTCACAGCAGCCTGCCCGTGAGGGGCCCCGCAGTGACGGGAAGCCCGTGGCGCTCTCTGCTCTCACTGTGAACTGAGAGGTGCTGCACCGGTCCCTGGCAGCCCCTGCAGGTGACGGTGTTCACAGGGAGACACCTGGTGGGCCGCCATGTTTTTGTCTCTGTCTGTGTTTGCACTAATCCAGCGAACTGCTTGCCTTATTGCTAACATACAGCAGGTTGGGTCTGTGTTAGAAGTCACTGTCTCCTACTCCCCTCCCAGGGAGCTTCCAGTAACCATCAGTTACCAGCTCGGATTAGACTGCAAAAACCCTTAGGAACTTTTTATTATGGCAAATGTCTAACACACACAGACAGAGAATGGTATGACAAAGCCTCACCTACGCGCCTTCAATAAAGAACAATGTTCACAACAAGTAACGCTTCAGACCTGAAGTGGGAAGATAGTCGTTTATAAACTGTTCTT